CCTCCTGAGTAGCTGGGATTACAGACACGCGCCACCATGCCCAGCTAATTTTTTGTATTTTTAGTAGAGACGGGGTTTCACCATGTTGACCAGGATGGTCTCGATCGCTTGACCTCGTGATCCACCTGCCTCGGCCTCCCAAAGTGCTGGGATTACAGGCTTGTGCCACCGCACCAGGCCTTCCACTCTTATTTTAGGTTCAGGGAGTACATGTGCAGGTTTGTTATTTGGGAATATTGTGTGATGCTGAGGTCTGGGTTGCAATTTGTCCTGTTACCCAGGTAGTGAACATTGTATCCAATCATTTTTCGTTTTCCTTTTCTTTTTTCTTTTCTTTTTTTTTTTTAGATATGGTCTCTCTGTGTCACACAGGGTAGAGTCCAATGGCGTGATCTTGGCTCACTGCAACCTCTGCCTCCCAGGTTCAAGTGATTCTCCTGCCTCAGCCTCCGGAGCAGCTGGGTTACAGGTGCCTGCCACCACACCTGGCTAATTTTTGTATTTTTGGTAGAGACAGGGTTTCACCATGTGAGCCAGTCTGGTCTCAAACTCCTGACCTCAGGTGATCCATCCACTTCTGTCTCCAAAAGTGATGAGATAACAGGTGTGAGGCACCACGCCCAGCCACTATTTTTACTTTTATGAGATGGAGTCTGCATATGTTGCCCAAGCTGGTCTTGAACTCCTGGCCTCAAGTGATATTTCTGCCTCAGCCTCCTCAAATGCTGGGATCACAGGAATGAACTACTGCTCCTGGTCTTTACTTTTAATTATTAATTAGTAATGGCGGGGCTCATGCCTATAATCCTAGCACTAGGGAAGGCCAAAGTGAGCGAATGAGATCAATTAGAGACCAGCCAGGGCAACATGGTGAAAACCTGTCTCTACAAAAAAATACCAAAATTAGCTGAGTGTGATGGTGTAGTCCTAGCTACTAGGGAGGCTGAAGTGGGAAGATTGCTTGAGCCTGGGTAGGTCCAGGATGTGGCGAGCTGTGATCATGCCTCTGCACTCCAGCCTGGGCAACAGAATAAGACCGTGTCTCAAAAAACTAAAACAATTAGTAGTAAATATTCTATTTCAAATAGTGGAATGCATAGAAAAAGACTCACTTCAGTGTTTATTGTTGTTATTTCAGACCAAAACCTTGTGTGACTGAGCTCAAGAGCAGTGCATCCAGATTCTCCTCAGAAGTGAGACTTTCCAAAGGACCAATGACTCTGTTTCCTGTGCCCTTTCATTTTTTCCTACTCTATAACTATGTCTCGATCCCGCCATGCAAGGCCTTCCAAAATAGTCAGGAAGGAAGCTGTAAACAAAAAAAAGAAAAACAGTCAACTGCGAAAGACAACCAAGGCAGCCAACAAAACTGTGGCATCGGTCAAGACTTTAAGCCCTGGAAAATTGAAACAATTAATTCAAGAAAGAGATGTTAAGAGAAAAACAGAACCTAAACCACCCATGCCAGTCAGAAGCCTTCTGACAAGAGCTGGAGCAGCACGCATGAGTTTGGATAGGACTGAGGTTCTTTTTCAGAACCCAGAGTCCTTAACTTGCAATGGGTTTACAATGGCGCTACGAAGCACCTCTCTTAGCAGGCGACTCTCCCAGCCCCCACTGGTCATAGCCAAATCCAAAAAGGTTCCACTTTCTAAAGGTTTAGAAAACCAACATGACTGTAATTATAAGATACTCCCTGATTTGGGAGCAAAGCACTCAGAAAATGATTTGGTTCCAGTGAAAGACACCCAAGTCCTTCCTGATATGGAGACTCTAATTGATGTACAAAATTCCTGTTTAATTAAAGGTAAGAGCCAAGAGACAACTCAGTCTTGGTCCCAAAGAATTGAGGATTCCAAAATCAATATCCCTATCCACAGTGGCCCTGCAGCTGAGATCCTTCCTGGGCCACTGGAAGGGACACGCTATGGTGAAGGACTATTCTCTGAAGAGACATTGAATGATACCAGTGGTTCCCCAAATATGCTTGCTCAGGACACAGTGTGTGCTCCTTTGCTCCAAAGAGCAACGCCCAAAGTTACCTCTCAAGGAAACCCCAGCATTCAGTTAGAAGAGTTGGGTTCAAGAGTGGAATCTCTTAAGTTATCTGATCCTTACCTGGATCCCATTAAAAGTGAAGATGATCGCTACCCCACCTCCAGTATTGATAAGGTTATACCTGAATTGAACCTTAGAAACTGCTTGGCTCTTGGTGGGTCTACGTCTTCTACCTCTGTGATAAAATTCCTCTTGTCAGGCTCAAAACAAGCAACCCTTGGTGCTAAACCACCTCATCAAGATTTCAAAGCTACTTCAAATGAACAGGAAGTTTCCGATACCACCTCTGTTCTAGGACAGGCCTTTGGTGCTATCCCACACCAATGGGAACATCCTGGGGCTGACCCAGTTCATGTTAAGGCCCTGGGTGAGACCCCAAATCCACCCGAGATTCCTGGTGCTATTCCAGCCCAAGGAGAGGTCTTTGGTACTATTTTAGACCAACAAGAAACTCTTGATATGAATGAGGGTGTTGTCCCAGACTTGCCTGTTTTCCTTCCTGTTCCTCCAAATCCAATTGCTACCTTTAGTGCTCCTTCCAAATGGCCTGAGCCCCAAAGCACTGTCTCATATGGACTTGCAGTCCAGGGTGCTATACAGATTTTGCCTTTGGGCTCAGGACACACTCCTCAATCATCATCAAACTCAGAGAAAAATTCATTACCTCCAGGAATGGGTATCAGTAATGTCGAAAATGAGAAACAGGTTCATATAAGCTTCTTGCCAGCTAACACTCAGGGGTTCCCATTAGTCCATGAGAGAGGACTCTTCCACGCTTCACTGGGTGTTGCCCAACTCTCCCAGGCTGGTCCCAGCAATTCAGACAGCGGGAACTCCCAGGTCAGTGTAACCAGCACAATTCATGTTGTCAACACTGCAGTGGTGACTATGCCAGTGCCAATGGTCAGTACCTCCAATTCTTCCTATACCACTTTGCTGCCCACTTTGGAAAAGAAGAAAAGAAAGCGATGTGGGGTCTGTGAACCCTGCCAGCAGAAGGCCAATTGTGGTGAATGTACTTACTGCAAGAACAGAAAGAACAGCCATCAGATCTGTAAGAAAAGAAAATGTGAGGAGCTGAAGAAGAAACCATCTGTCATTGTGCCTCTGGAGGTAAGCAGACAGTCAAGGGGCTTGGAGACAGCTGACACTTGGTAAAGTGATCTATATGTAGAGACAATTTGCTTCACTATTACATATTTTTCCTTTGGTACAATGTTACTTTAAGTGATTCATAAAAGAATTACTGGACCTACCTGAAGTATGTCTTGTGCAGTGATACCGTAGCTTGCTTATTTTTAGAATTTGTTCTAGAAAACTGGAACATACAGTTTTTTTTTTTCATTACAGGATTTGATGGAAACATAGAGAAATTGTATGAAATGTGGTTTTGCAAAGATTTCCCCATGCCTCTTTTGGCTAGTTGCATGTCTTTTTTGGCAGTCACAGATTTAAAAATTAAGAGTGGAACAAATTCATTAACTCCATAGCAGCCTGAAAAACCAGAGGTATTAAACATCGTTCCTTTTGAAAGAATACAGTTGCATCCCTAATCTTGAAACTTTGCTTTGGAGGCATAGCAATAATACAGCTTTTGTCTCAGCTTTTGATGATTTCTACCTGCTCTACTAACTTCATAGGGTTGTTGGGATTAAAGAAAAATGGCTTGTAAACTCCAAAGTGATATACAAACTAATTCTTATTATAGTTTATGAACCTAAGGTAGTAAAAGGATCTGTTGATTTAGAATTTATTTAAAAACTTTTAGGGAACTTGGTTAAAACTTACTGTTGCTTTTTTCGCCTTTTAAAACACCTGTTAAATATGATGTTTTATGATTTTTAGATCATGCATTAAAGTTATGTTGATTATGTCTACTACAAATGCAGTTACAGTAGAATAGATGGAGTTAGAAGTATTGTAGGATGGGTATGGTGGCTCACAGCTGTAATCCTAACACTTTGGGAGGCCAAGGTGGGCAGATCACCTGAGGTCAGGAGTTTGAGACCAGCCTGGCCAATACAGCAAAACTCCATCTCTACTAAAAATACAAAAAGTAGGTGGGTGTGGTGGCAGGTGCCTATAATCCCAGCTACTCTGGAGGCTGAGGCAAGAGATTCACTTGAACCCAGGAGGCAGAGGTTGCAGTGAGCCAAGATTGCACCACTGCACTCCAGCCTGGGCCACCAGAGCAAAACTCCACCTCAAAAAAATAAAATAAAATAAAAATAAAAAGTATTGTGGCTGGGCATGGTGGTTTACACCTGTAATCCCAGCATTTTGGGAGGCCCAAGCAGGTGGATCGCTTGACGTCAGGAGTTCAAGACCAGCTGGGGTGAAACCCCATCTCTACTAAAAATACAAAATTAGCTGGGCGTAGTTGTGTATACCTGTAGTTCGAGCTACTCCAGAGGCTGAGGCAGCAGAATTGGAGGTGGAGGTTTCAGTGAGTTGTGATCACACCACTGCACTCCAGCCTGGACAACAGCGAAGCTCCATCTCAAAAAAAAAAATAAATAAAATGAATGAATAAATAAATAAATAAATAAAAATATTGGGAGGCTAGTCATGGTGGTTCACACCTGTAATCCAGGAACTTTGGGAGGCTGAGGTGGATAGATCACTTGAGGCCAGGAGTTTGAGACCAGTCTGGTCAACCTGGAGAAACTCCATCTCTTCTAAAAATACAAAAATTAGCCAGGAGTGGTGGTGCATGCCTGTAATCCCAGCTACTCAGGAGGCTGAGACACAAGAATCACTTTAACCTGGGAAGCAGAGGTTGTAGTGAGTGGAGACTGTGCCACTGCACTTCAGCAGGGGCAACAGGGAGAGACCTTGCCTCAAAACAGTATTGTGAGATTTAAGCCAGGCATGGTGGCTCATGCCTGTAATCCCAGCATTTTGGGAGCACCAAGGCAGGAGGACTTCCTGAGCCCAGGAGGTCAAAATCAGCCTGGGCAATAGAGCAAGACCTTGTCTCTACTAAAGGTACAAAACTAGCTGGCTGTGGTGGCACACTCCTGTAGTCCTAACTACTTGGAGGCTATAGTGAAAGGGTCGCCTAAGCCTGGGAAGTCAAGGCTTCAGTAAATAGTGATCACGCCACTGGATTCCAGCCTGGGTGACAGCAATGAGACTCTATCTGAAAAAAAAGGATTGTGAACATAAAATTCAGTAAGCCATTTATATTTCTTTTTTTGTTTTTCTTTTCTTTTTTTTTTTAATTTGAGACAGAGTTTCACTCTTGTTACCCAGGCTGGAGTGCAATGGCACAATCTCGGCTCACCGCAACCTCCGCCTCCTGGGTTCAGGCAATTCTCCTGCCTCAACCTCCTGAGTAGCTGGGATTACAGGAACGTGCCACCATGCCCAGCTAATGTTTTGTATTTTTAGTAGAGACAGGGTTTCACCATGTTGACCAGGATGGTCTCGATCTCTTGACTTCCTGATCCACCTGTCTTGGCCTCCCAAAGTGCTGGGATTACAGGCTTGAGCCACCGCGCCCGGCTTGTTTTTGTTTTCTTTTGTGAGACAAAGTCGCACTCTCTCACTCAGACTGGAGTGCAGTGGCACAATCTCAGCTTACTGCAACCTCAGCCTCCCAGGTTCAGGCAATTCTCTCTTGCTTCTTCTGCCTCCCATGTAGCTGGAATTACAGGCATCCACGACCATGCCTGGCTAATTTTTGTATCTTTAGTAGGGACAGGGTTTTGCCACGTTGGCCAGGCTGGTCTCCAACTCCTGACCTCAGATGATCCACCTGCCTCAGCCTCCCAAAGTGCTGGGATTACAGGCATGAGCCACCGTGCGTGGTCTTCTGTTTCATTCGTGATTTAAATTATCGGTTTAAACATGCTGATTTTGGCTGCTCATTGGTGGCTCACGCCTGTAACCACAGCACTTTGGGAGGCTGACGGAAGAGGATCACTTGAGGCCAGGAGTTTGAGACCAACGTAGGCAACATAACAAGACTTCATCAGAAAACACATAGCTGGGCCGGGTGCGGTGGCTCATGCCTGTAATCCCAGCACTTTGGGAGGCCGAGGCAGGTGGATCACGAGGTCAAGAGATCGAGACCATCCTGGTCAACATGGTGAAACCCTGTCTCTACTAAAAATACAAAAAATTAGCTGGGCATGGTGGCATGTGCCTGTAATCCCAGCTACTCAGGAGGCTGAGGCAGGAGAATTGCCTGAACCCAGGAGGCGGAGGTTGTGGTGAGCCGAGATCGCGCCATTGCACTCCAGCCTGGGTAACAAGAGCGAAACTCTGTCTCAAAAAAAAAAAAGAAAAAAAGAAAACACATAGCTGGATTGGGCGGGGTGGCTCATGCCTGTAATCCCAGCATTTTGGGAGGCCAAGGTGGACAGATCACCTGAGGTCAGGAGTTCAAGACCAGCCTGGTCAACATGGTGAAACCCTATCTCTATTAAAAATACAAAAATTAGCAGGGCTTGGTGATGCATGCCTGTAATCCCAGCTACTTGGGAGTTTGAGGCAGGAGAATCACTTGAACCCGGGAGGTAGAGGTTGTAGTGAGCCAAGATTCTGCCATTACATTCCAGCCTAGTCAACAGAGCAATGCTCCATCTCAAAACAGAAAAAAACACAAAAAACATAGCTGGGTATGTTGGCATGCACCTGTGTTTTCAGTTACGAGAGAGGCTGGGTTGGGAGAATAGCTTGAGCCCAAGTGTTCAAGGCTGCAGTGAGCTATGACGGCACCATTACATTGCAGCTTTAATGACAGAGCCTGACCCTGTCTCAATAAATAAATAAATAAATAAATAAATAAATAAAGCTGATTTCTTAATTGTCTGAGCCATTGCAAATGAGAGATCAGACAATCAATCATGTATTGATGGACATTTAAAGTGTTTCTAAAATACTTTGTTATTTTTTTAAAGATGGGGTTTCACCATGTTGGTCAGGCTGGTCTTGAACTCCCAATCTCAGGTGATCCGCCCACCTTGGCCTCCAAAGTGCTTGGATTACAGGCATAAGCCACTACTTTGTTATGAAAAATCTTACTGAACCTGTAATCCCAGCACTTTGGGAGGCTAACAGAAGAGGATTGCTTGAGCCCAAGAGTTTGAGATAAATAAACTGGGAAATATAATGTGACGTCCACCTCCACACCAAATTTCTATTTTATTCTATTTTATTTATTTATTTAATTTTGAGATGGAGTATTGCTCTGTTGCCCAGGCTGGAGTGCAGTGGCGAGATCTTGGTTCACTGCAACCTCCTACCTCCTGAATTCAAGTGATTCTCCTGCCTCAGCCTTCCAAGTATTTGGGATGACAGGCAAGCACCACCATGCCTGGCTAATTTTTGTATTTTTCGTAGAGATGGGGTTTCACCATGTTGGTCAGGCTGGTCTCGAACTCCTGACTTCAGGATGATCCACCCACTTCGGCCTCCCAAAGTGTTGGGATTATAGGCATGAGCCACTGTGCCTGGCCTTTGATTTTTTAAATAATATTTTTATTTATTTTTTTAAGCCCCAACCATGGCAAGGATAGATTTTGAAGTTTTTAGCAAATTCTGATAAGAATTGTAATATTTAGTTGGGATTTCGACAAGCCACCCATTAGGACTTTTTTTTTAAAAATTTGAGACAGAGTTTTGTTCTTGTTGCCCGGGCTGGAGTGCAATGGTGTTACCTGGGCTCACCGCAACCTCTGCCTCTCGGGTTCAAGCAATTCTCCTGCCTCAGGCTCCCTAATAGCTGGGATTACAGGCATGCACCACCATGCCCAGATAATTTTGTATTTTTAGGATGGTGTTTCTCCATGTTGGTCAGGCCTCGAACTCTCAGTCTCCCAAAGTGCTGGGATTAGAGGTGGCTCCACCACTCATGGCCTCCGTTAGGACATTTTGAGTAGCAAAATGAAGAAAGATCTCATTTGATGCTGAGTGATACACATGGGGAACATAGGGGATGGTTTTACTTTGAATAGTGTTGCTAAATTGCCAGTTTCTGGTCTAATTTGGGGTGCTAGGATTACAGGCATGAGCCATTGCACCCAGCTCCAAAATTAAAAAAAAAAAAAAAAAATAGCCGTGTGTGGTGGCTCATGCCTCTGGTTCCAGCTACTTGGGTCACTGAGGTGGGAAGATTTCGTGATCTTGGGAAGCTGAGGCTGCAGTGAGCTATGGTCATGCCACTGTACTCCAGCATGGGTGACAAAGCAAGACCCTGTCTCAAAAAAAAATAATAATAACTTTACTGAAATGTATAATCTTCTTTTACTCAGTCTAGTCACTTCAAGCTTGTGGGAATAGATAAAATGTGGCCACTTACCGATGGCTTACAAAGTAA